AAAAAAAAAACAAAGACAGGGAATCTCTAACAATTTTTAGGAGAACATCTTAACGTTACAAAGACGAATAAAAAAAAAAAATGATGGATTCGTTTTCAAGAACGAAGATCGTCGCGATCGAATAATTCTCTAGCATAGAAACTATGTTAAATAAAATACTACAAACAGCGTGTATTAAAATTAATGTCGTCGTCGAGGAAAAGAAAATACTGGACTAATAAATAAGCAACATCGACGAAAGTTTCGCGAGCAAGTAAAATGATAAAATTATTTCCTCGATTTATTTCATCCATCCAGCAGGGTGTTTTCCATAATTTTCTACAAAAGGGAGAGCTTTAAATTCCGGCAATATTCTGGAAAATATTAAAAGGTGAGAAAGCCTTCGATCAATCAGTCAGGAATCCTTCGTTAAACTTCGTTTCCTTCGGAAATAAACGGCATCCAGACACATCGGTCTGAAATCAGCTAGAAAGCAATCGAGTACGAAGATACGATCCTCTTCGCCCTTTCACCAATCAACTTAGATAATTATCTAAGAATTTTCTTTACCTATTTAAGAGTCGACCTACGACAAATGTTCTGCATCTCGTCTCAATTCGTGACGAGAGAAAAGCAGAAAAGACAAAATCCGTTCGGGTCCCGGTTGTGAAAGTAAGTGGAAAGAGCAAGTCGAACGACGAACTTCACCTGTTTCTCCTCACTCATCGACAAACGGAAAGCAGAAAGAGAAAGAACCACGAGATACGAACGAAGATATATCCATCATTCCAGTTGATCTCTCGAATCGAAGTACATGCTGCTTAGCCTTTCCTCCAAACCGAGGTTTTATCTTTGAGCAACGCGTCGATGTCGTTCAGAATATCATCCGACGCCATGTCCAACGTCAGATAATCCTCCTCGTTTACATTCAGCAGACTATCTGCTTCTTTGGAATCTTCTACAGTGTCAACTAGTTGCAAGCTCTTTTGCTTGTTCCTCTCCAATGGCATCTGATCTTCGTCCGTGCTGCTATCGCACAATCTGACTTCGACGTCATTCTTCCTAGGCCTACCACCGGTCGAGCTCGACGATTCCGATTCGTTCAATCTGACCGTGGAACTGGATTCAGGGCTGTTTCTACCCGATTCGTCGCGATTCTTCGCCTCGAGTTGCTGCTCTTCCTCAGCGTGAAGAAGCGAGGAGGAGCTGGACGATCTCTTTGGAGATCGTCTGAGCTTAACAGGCGGCACGCTGCTCGAGATCGTGTTGCGATCGTGATTGGGACAGCTGATTTTACGCCTACGCTTCGAAGCGTCCTGCTCGAAATTCTCCAGCCGTCTTTTCATCCCCCTGGCGGATATTGCCTCTGCAATTGTTTCGGTCAAACTTTCCGTGTCTTTCAAAAGTTCCGTCGAACTCGCCGCCGCCGCCTCGCTGTTCTCCCTCGTTTTATCGTCACCAGCCTCGAGGCTTCTACGCTTACGGCGGCGGATTTCGTCGAGTGTGAGAACCTGGAAGTCCAATCCCTTTCTGTCGTTCGAATCTGTGTCTCTCGCTGCTGGATACAGGCAGATTCGTTTCGTCCTACGAGCCTTCGTGCTATCGTCACCAATGTCGCTCCGAGTGCCCTCAGCCTGATAGGAATAGTAGGCGGCACTCTCCGCTTGAATCTCCTCCAGACGAATCTCCTCGTATGTCTTGCAGTACGGGACCCTCGGCTGCGGCTTTACCGGAGACGGTACACTTTCATTGTCCGACTCTGGAAGAAACATATCACGAAATTGCGAAAATTTGCTGTTTTATTAGCTTCGATTCGAGGATGCTCTCCACCTTTTGTTGTTAGACACCATCGGACACCATTCGTCTCTCCGTTCAATCATTATCATCCCATTTCATTAGAACATTTTTACAGCTATTTGAAAAAGTATCTCTATCTGTCTGTCAGTTTCGATTATTCGTTTCGAATATTCTGTTCACCGTCTCTCCAGAGCGTCTTTTTTTTTTTTTTTTACTTTTACAATTATCTCAAACGCTCTGAATTGACTCTATGAAGTGAGCGTATACTCCGAATTTT